GTCCATCTCAAATCTCCCCCTCTCCTCTTTTCCAAGTACGCCAATGACTCAATTATTAAGGATTTCCTCATCTTGAAATCCTTAATCACATCTGAAAAGACCTTCCCCCATCCCTCCCTCCCTACCCCCCAGCGCCCCCTACCCCTCAGCCCCGCCTCTTTCGAGGTAAGGTCTTACTCTGCCACCCAGGCTGAAATGCAGCGGAGTAATTTCAGCTCACTGCCACCCCCACCTCCCAGGTTCAAGTGATCCTCCCACCTCAATCTCCTGAGTAGCTGGGACTACAGGGGTGCACCATCATGCCTGGCTAATTTTTTGAAATTTTTTGTAGAGACATGGTCTCATTATATTGCCTAGACTTGTCTCAAGTGATCCTCCCACTTTGGCCCCCCAAAGTACTGAGACTACAGGTGTCAGCCAGCATGCCCAGCAAACTATTTCTACATAATGTAACATTTACACACATGAAGGGTTAGGACGCAGACATACCTTTTTTGGGGACAAAGATTCAATCCAGTACAAGCACTTAAAGGGTAATTTTGATGATTTGTTGGAGATGGACTGTGGAATAGCATGAAAGTGGGAAACTCCTAGGGGACAGCTGTCCTATAGGAGAGTCCCCACACTTTTGTGGGTTTTATGGTACTGCCAGATTCTCACAGTGAAGAGCCAAGGATACCTTTATAGTTCTGGCAAGGAGAAAAAGAAAAGTAACCACTGTGAAATACAGCCTGAGTATTCTCTGTAACAAAGGCCTACACGCCAGGGGAAAGACTGCCAGAGGGTTTATATCACCTAGGAATGGGAATTTACCTGATTCTAGTCTACTCCACAGCTCCAAGGCATCAATCCACAAAAAAACAGAGATTTAATTATTAAGATTATAGTATACTTCCCTTCTCCCACATGCTACCATCACATCAGTGAGGCTCCAGTATTTACAGCTGAAAGAGCTGCAAGACGCAGATTCTATCTGAGAAAGAGTTCTTAGGGAAACCCAAAGAAAGCAAGGAAGACAAAAACAAAGACATGACAGGAATGTGAACCCTCTGGCACCTACAGCTAGAGCAAACATTAAACACAGTCCAACTCCTAAGCAGATAAATATAAAGCCTCACACTAAAGATTTAACTACTATTACCTAATATATCATTTCCAGCCTTGAAAAAAATTTCAAGTCATGCTAAAAAGGCAAGAAAACACAAGTCTAAAGAGACAAAGTAAGCATTTGAACCAGACTCAGATATAAGACTTTTTTTAAATTATCAGATAACAAATTTAAAATAACTATATTAATATGTTAAGGGTAATAATATAAAAAGCTAGCAACATGCAAGAAAAAATGAATATGGTAAGCACATAGAAACTCTAGAATAGAAACAGAAGGAAAATTGGGACTCAAAAACACTATAACAAATAATCAATACCACTGATGCATTCATCAGTGGACTATACATAGCCAAGGAAAGAATCAGTACGCTTGAAGAGAGGTCAAAAGAAATCTCCCAAACTGAAATGCAAAACGAAAAAGAATTATAAACAACAAAAAAAAACAAAACAAAAAACCCCCGGACAGAACATCCAAGAACTGTGAAAAATTTCAAGAGGTATAAGCACACATAATTGGAATTCCAGAAGAAGGAGGAAAAACCGAGCAGAGGAAATATATGAAATAATAATGGCTGAGAATTTTCCAAAAATAAGGTATACTAAACCAGACATTTGGAAAACTAAGAGAACAAAAGACAAAGAAAACCTTGAAAGAAGCCATCACAAACTAACACCCTACCTATTGAGGAACAAGGATAAGAATAACAGCAGGCTTCTCATTAGAAAACATGAAGGCAGGAAAGGATGGAATGAAATATTTAAAACACTGGAAAAAAAAAAAAAAAAACCTTGAAATCTGTATCTAGCAAAATTATCCTGCAAAGGGAAAGAGAAATAAAGACTTTTTCAAATAAAAGCAAGAATTCATTGCCAACAGACCCGCCATGAAAGAAATGTTAAAGGAAGTTCTTCAGAGAAAACAAAATAATATAGGTCAGAAACGCAAATTAATATGGAGAAGGAGCATAGAAAGAATAAATGAAGATAAAACAAAATATTTTTTTATTCTTAATTGATCTAAAAGATAACTGCTTAAAAGTCATAATAGTAACCACGCATTGCATGATTATAGCATATGAATAGGTGAAATTAACGAATGTCTTAAGGGACAATAAGGAATATTCTATGGTACCAGCGCTACACATGAAGTGTTGCAGTGTTACTTAAAGCTGAATTTGGCCGGGCGCAGATGGCTCACACCTGTAATCCTAGCACTCTGGGAGTCCAAGGTGGGTGGATCATGAGGTCAGGAGTTTGAGAGCCGCCTGGCCAACACAGTGAAACCCCATCTCTACTAAAACTACAAAAAAATTAGCCAGGCACTGTGGCAGGCATCTGTGACCCCAGCTACTTGGGAGGCTGAGGCAAGGAGAATCGCTTGAACCTGGGAGGCAGAGGTTGCAGGCGCCACTGCACTCCAGTACGAGACTCTGTCTCAAAAAAAAAAAAAAAAAAGCTGAATTTAACATTAGTTGTAAATACATACTGCAAACTCCAGGGCAAGCACTAAAAATAAAAATTAAGTATAATTGAAATGTTAAGAGGACATAAATGGAATCTCATCAAATGCTCAGAGAAAACAAAAAAATGGGGGGAAAAAAATAAATGCAACCAAAAGCTGTTATTTGAAAACATCAATAAAATCAGTAAATCTCTAGAAAGAATGACCAAGGGGAAAAATAAAATAAAACCAGAAGGCCCAAATTACCAGTATCAGGAATAAAAGAGTGAATATCTCTACAGACCTTATATTCATTAAAATAATAAGGAAAAACCATAAACAAGAATATACATATAAAGCCGGGCGCAGTGGCTCATGCCTGTAATCCCAGCACTTTGGGAGGCTGAGGTGGGTGGATCACCTGAGGTCAGGAGTTCAAGAGCAGCATGACCAATATGGTGAAACCCCATCTAAAAAAAAAAAAAAAAAAAAAAAGAATACATCAAAGTTTTGTTACTTTATTACTTTGAGATAACTTGAACAACTATTCTACATATTGAGTTTGTACCTCTAAACCGTCCAAAAAGACAAATCTCCAGGGCCAGATAATTTCACCAGCAAATGCAACCAAGTATTTTAAAACATACCAATTCTACAAAGTAAAGTGCCACTACACATCTATTAAAATAGCTAAAAAAAATACAAGGCTATGAAGCAATTGGAATTCCAATTTACTGCTGGTGACAATACAAACTGATAACAGACACTCAGAAAACCCATTAGGCAGTTTTTTATAAAGTTAAACATACACTTCCCACATGACCCAGCAATCTCTCGCCTAGCTATACAGAGTTCATATAAAAACCTATACTCAAATGTTTATAGCAGCACTTAACTGCCAAAACTAGAAAAGACCTAAATGTCCTTCAACTGATGAATAAAGAACTGGTATATTCATACAATGGAATGCTACTAAGCAATAACAATATTGTCGTGTGTCTTAGAACACACAATTACTTAGATGAATCTCAACGGCTGTATGTTCACTGCAAGAGGCAATTTTCAGAAGGTTACAAACTGTATAATGTCCTTTATATAACATTCTCAAAACTATTATAAAGTTGGAGAACAAACAGATGTTTGCCACTAGTTACAGGTGGGGGAAGGATGTGACTACAAAGGAATGACAGGCGTAAGTTTTTTAAGATAATGGAAGAGTCCTTGCTGAGCCTCGTGGCTCACACCTGTAATCCTAGCACTCTGGGAGGCCAAGGCGGGTGGATCACTTGAGGTCAGAAGTTCGAAACCAGCCTGGCCCACATGGTGAAACCCTGTCTCTACTAAAAATACAAAAAATTAGCTGGACATGGTGGCACATGCCTGTAGTCCTAGTCACTCAGGAGGCTGAGGCGAGAGAATCACTCGAACCCACAACAGAGAGGCTGCAGTGAGCCATGACTGTACCACTGTACTCCAGGCAGGGAAATAGAGAAAGACTCCATCTCAAAAAAAAAAAAAAAGAGATAATGGAAAAGTCCCAATTTTTGTCCTGGTCACAAGAATCTATACATACACATTTTAAAATTCATACACTGTAAACCCAAAAAATGTCAATTTTCCTATATGTTAATTTGACAAAAAAAAGAAAGAAAATAATTGTGTAGAGATACAAACTATCGTTTTGTAATACTGTTAAAAGAGAAAAAATTTGAATACTTATAACATCAACAGGGATATAAATAAACAAATGTTATTACCCTACCATACAATTTAGTCACAGAAAGATGTTCATGACAAGTAAAAAGTATGTTATAAAGTGGCACGTATCATGTAATCTTATTTTTCCTAAAAGGAAAAAAGAGTTGGTGGAGGTGCTAAAAAAAAATTGAATGTAGAAACTTATAAACCAAATGTTAATTAATCATTATTTCTGAGTGGTAACATAGCTGAGATTTTTATTTTAACTTTCTAAATTGTCCAAACACTCAATTTTTAAAAATCATTACTGTTACAGTCAGAATAAGACTATTTAGGCTGGGTGTGGTGGTTCACACCTATAATCCCAGCACTTTGGGAGTCCAAGGCAAGCAGGTCATTTGGAAGTCAGGAGCTTGAGACCAGCCTGGCCAACAAGATGAAACTCTGTCTCTACCAAAAATACAAAAATTAGCCAGGCATGGTGGCAGATGCCTATAATCCCAGCTACTCTAGAGGCTGAGGCAGGAGAATCGCTTGATCCGGGGAGGCAGAAGTTGCAGTGAGCTAGGATTACGCCACTGCACTCTAGCCTCAATGACAGAATGAGACTCCGTCTCAAAAAAAAGGGAAGGTGAGAGAAAACAAAATGACAAATTCTCACAATAATACTGTGAAGGGAAAAAATATTTCAAGTCTATGATTTCTCTTATGCATTTACTTATAATTGGTTTATAGTCTGAAAGATACACACAAGAATAGGGACGTATCTCTGGGTGAGTTTTCTTCCTCATTGTCCTCACTGCCATTATTTCCATATTCTTCTATTAAAAATACAGATTTTACCTTTAAAAACAAAATTTAGCCATGAAAATACTGACATATAAAATCTTAACCTATACATCAAACAACAGGTGACTGATTAAATAAAATACGGTAAAACCATACAAAGAAATAGGACTTAACTGCAAAAATATGACACAGGAAAATATGCACAATAAAACTTCAAGTAAATAAAGCAAGAGATCAAACTACATGAAAAGTATGAGCCAAATCTGCAAAATACATTTTTTAAGATTTGAACTCATATATCAAAATAACTACTCTGTAAAGGGTTACAGGTCTTTTTCCTCCTGCTTTGTTTTAGACTTCCTAAAATGAGCACTTTTGTAATCAGGAAGGTATCAGTAAGTAGTGTTGGTATCCCACAGTGTGCTATATCTAAAGAATGTGAATGTGGCAAAACCCCAATTATGCAACAGTGTTCCTCACTGTCACTCTTTTCTAATTCGAGTTTCACTGCAAGGTGATACAGGAGGGTGGGTACCTGGGAGTATACTGTCCCAAAGTATTCACCAAAACCTTTCACCTACTTGTAGAGCTAGTTAGAGCAATCCAAGGTATGTTTCAGCCCCGAAGGCACCATTTTAAAAAGCCATAAATCCCATCCTCCTTCCTCCTCTTACTCTGATAGAATTCCCTTGTAATTAATTCATTTCCCAGGACCAAACTATCAATCTGCCAACATCACTTTACTAACTTGGAAATCACAAATTTCACAGAAAGAATCATAAAGAACAAGAAATTCTGATTTATAAATGCACTGTTCTTTAAGTACTTATTTATTCAATTTGATAGTGCTATTCGCTCTTAGCAATCTACTTACTTATTAAGTCTACATTTAGATGAGAATTGTTAAGTTCTACAGCATCCTTTGTAATATTCTTCAACAGACATGTATTAAACGGTATTTCAAAATATTATAAAACAAGTAATGAGGGATGGCAAAAAATATTCAAGAAGTCAAATGTCAATTCAGTACAATGAATTCTTCTCAAAATTGTGTTTAATTCTAATTTTTGCCATCTTGCAGGAAAATTAAACTGAAATGACTCATTTATTTTACTCACCTTACTTTAACAATATGTCTACTCAAAAGTCCAACTTTTGAGTACATTTTCTCCCCAGTAAAATTAACCTACTTTTTAAAATTAGTTTGTTGTAAAAGCTTTTAAACACATGTTAAGATAGTATTCTATTTTTAACTTTTTTCATTATCAAACTAACTTGAAAAATACTAACTTCTCATTTATTAGAGCTAAATGAACCATGTCTTCCTGAAGTCAGTAAACCAGACTGTCAAAAATTAATCTGATTTGGGAGTATTTTTGTCAATAATCCAAGTATCTATACTTTCTAATACCAAATACTACAATTTTTACTTAATTGATCAGTTCTACTAAGCTATTTCCAACAGCAGTAGCACTTGCACGGTTAGCTCATACAGCAACTTACTTCCAACGTATCACAAAGATGACTACCTCAAAGAAGCCTATCAAGATGAGCAATCAAAAATAAATTGGAGGCTGGGCACACACATTGGCTCACACCTGTAATCCTAGCACTTTGGGAGGCCGAGGCAGGGGGACTACTTGAGCTCAGGAGTTCCAGACCAGCCTGGGCAACACAGCAAGATTTCGTCTGTGCTAAAACAAATAAATAAATAAATAAAAATAATTATGTGGGCGTGGTTGTGGTCCCAATTACTTGGGATGCTGAGACAGATGACCTCTTGAGCCCAAGAGGTGGAGAATGCAGTGAGCCATGAGCATACCACTGCACTCCAGCCTGGGTGACAGAGCAAGATGCTGCCTCAAAAAATAATAATAAAATAAAAATAAATTGGGAGTTATAAGAAATTATAAAATACACAAAGAGGTTTTTCAGTTCAACATTCTAAAAACAGATGCTGCAAACTTGGGCCAGTATAAGAGGCCCAGAGACATGTAACAACTATGAAATTATTGGTTCTTGGATGTGCTAAAAAGCTGCAAACCTAAATATCTGAATGAAATTTCTTTAAAAAATGAATTACTCAAGAGATTTTTTTTTTTTTTTTTTTTT